ATGCCGTCTATATCCACATCTACATATTCTTGGGCTGCATGATCGGTCTGACCTTGTTCGTGGGCGTGGTCATTGCCAACTATTCGGAGAACAAGGGCACCGCCCTGCTCACCGTCGACCAGAGGCGTTGGTGTGACCTTAAGAAGCGTCTGAAGATCGCCCAGCCGCTGCATCTGCCGCCCAGACCCGATGGCCGGAAGATCCGTGCCTTCACCTACGACATCACCCAGCACATCATCTTCAAGAGGGTCATCGCAGTGGTGGTCCTGATCAACAGCATGCTGCTCAGCATCACGGTTTGTACCTGGTGATTTCAGTGGTTGAACGAGTCACGAAGTATCTGCATGCATATATGTAGGAATGTTTCGTTACAATGTCTAGATCTAGATTGACATACTTACATGCTAATATAACGAGCTACATATCGCATGCCCGATTTCAACAAGTTTGCCGAAGGGAAAACATTGATTAAAGTAGCTAAGCGTTTTCGTTGCTTTCAATATTATTCGAGATTCTGTACCTAATAATCTGAATATTTCCATATTTAAGTTAAACAATCGCTGGAAAATTAGCGAAATTCTCTCTCTTGTACATTACATTGCATTAACTTCAAATTGAATAGATTATGGAATATTAGACTAATCCTATCATATACCATAACTATTATAGTTGCGCATATTTTCAAGACATATTTCTAATGATAAGTGAGCAGCCAAAAAGTATGCTTTTGACTGTCACAACTGAAAGTCTGAGTGCAAAAGTCATAACTAATAACTGCATGCCAGCACGTTTGTACAAATGCATATATACTATAAAGAACAAAGGTGGATAGTGAGTCACCATCGCTAGCGAATAGTACGACTAGTACGAATACTACGAATAACCCGAAACCAAACCATAGCAAGATAATGAATGTATGGCGTTATGAATTGAAACTGTAGTATGTGACTGCTTAGAGCGTAGAGCTTAGAGCCTAGACCTTATAGATTAGAGATGGTAGCAGTTGCTATGATCTAAGCCCTCGACCATCTATCGCCATAGTCTTAGTCTTGTCTCTTGTCTCAATTGTCTGCTGCAGTGGATCAAGGGAGAGGTGCATACGGAACGCCTGGTGATCGTCAGTGCGGTATTGACCTTTGTCTTTGTGGTTGAGGTGGTGATGAAGAACATTGCCTTTACACCGCGGGGCTATTGGCAATCTAGGCGCAATCGCTATGACCTCCTCGTCACCGTTGCCGGTGTGATTTGGATTATATTGCAGACCATTCTGCGGGTAAGTTCATGTTGCCACAACTGCTGTTGTCAACCACCAACCACCACCACCACCATCCTCAGTATGCCAAAATCACCCAGTTCACACTACACACTACACACATTGCACATTCACACATGCCCCGCTGAACAATAAACAATGAACAATGAACACTGACCAGTCTGACCTCTGACCTTTGACCTCTAATCTCTGACAGAACGATCTGTCCTACTTCTTCGGCTTCATGGTGGTCATCCTGCGCTTCTTCACCATCACCGGCAAGCACACCACACTGAAGATGCTCATGTTGACCGTGGGCGTGTCTGTATGCAAGTCCTTCTTCATTATCTTTGGCATGTTTCTGCTAGTCTTCTTCTATGCGCTGGCCGGAACGATTCTCTTCGGTGAGCTGGGTGTCCAAACCAAACCAAACCAAAGCAAAAAAATTAAAAAAATTTAGAAAAATAATCTAGAAAACAATAAAAGGCTAGAGCCAGAGCAAGCCAACTTGGGCCATCCGCCAAACCCCCGCCCATCCCTACTGACCACTCCACCCGGCTGATTCTCGTTTCAGGCACCGTCAAATACGGCGAGGGCATCGGTAGACGGGCCAATTTTGGTTCACCCGTCACCGGGGTGGCCATGCTCTTCCGGATCGTCACCGGCGAGGACTGGAATAAGATCATGCACGACTGCATGGTCCAGCCGCCGTACTGCACCTTGGGTAACAACTACTGGGAGACGGATTGTGGCAACTTCACTGCCAGCCTGATATACTTCTGCACCTTCTACGTGATCATCACATATATCGTGCTGAACTTGCTAGTGGGTAGGTCTCCCTAGGAATTAGTAGGTCACTCAGGTTTAGTATATGGCATATACAAGTATGTTTATCCACAAGTATTGCTTATAATTCATTTGGCTTTTTACAAAAGGAAATATTTAAGTTTGCACAACCTTAAGAATGAAACTGTAGGCCAACTTCCTACACATATTTCAAAATCCATGCAAACTGAATGAACTTCATAAATTTCTGAGCTACAATAGAGATTAATATAGCACATTTCCCTTTCTGCAGCTATTATCATGGAGAACTTTTCGCTCTTCTACTCCAACGAGGAGGACGCCCTGCTCTCGTATGCGGATATACGCAACTTCCAGAACACCTGGAACATTGTGGACATCCATCAGCGTGGAGTGATACCCGTGCGCCGGGTGAAGTTCATCCTGCGACTGCTGAAGGGACGACTCGAGTGCGATCCGCAAAAGGATCGCCTGCTGTTCAAGTACATGTGCTACGAGCTGGACAAGCTGCACAATGGCGAGGATGTGACCTTTCACGATGTGATCAAGTGGGTGATTGTGGTCCATAGGTTGATGTAATCTACATTTTGCATCCTACGCCTTGCAGCATGCTGAGCTATCGCTCCGTGGACATCCGGAAGGCTCTGCAGCTGGAGGAGCTACTGGCGCGCGAGGAGTTCGAGTACCTGGTTGAGGAGGAGGTGGCCAAGATGACCATTCGCACCTGGCTGGAGGGGTGCCTTAAAAAGATTCGGGCCCAAAATGCCAGCGTAAGTTGCGATGCTGTTGCTTATGAATATAAAATAATGTTTAAATCGTGCAGAAGCAGCAGAATTCGCTGATCGCTGGCCTGCGGGCAACCAACGAGCAGCCGGTGATGCGGCCAAATGTCCAAGAGGACAAGGCTCCCCTGGGTGCGGTGGACAAGTCGGCGATCAGCACGATCAGCGGAGCAGTGGCCGGCGCCTGTCCGCCAACCAGTGACGCATTTTCGCCGACCTTCAGCTCCACGGAGAACGAGGAGAAGGACGGCAGCAGCAGCGCCGTGGTGCAGTTGCCCCACTCGGAGACATCGTTAGCCGGCACCGGAAGTTCAGCGACGGTTGCGGCGACGGGGGCGACGGGTGCTTCAGCGGGACTTGGCATAGGACCATCGGCTGTCCAGGCCACCGCTCGACATGTGATGACGGTCGGCAAACGGGGCTATGCCCTCAATCGATCCGATTCGACTGGCAGCTCGGCGGGCAGAAAATTCCTGGCACCCACCTCCAGTGATCCCCAGCAGCGTTCGACGCTGAGCGACAAGGAGCGGCTGCACATCACCAGTCAGCAGCGGAAGAAGAACTCGATGACCACATTGCCACATGCCGGCCAACTGGGCCAGCTGGCCAAGCAACGCGGCGGCGCTGGTGAGGCCACCAAATCGTCCAGTTTCTTTGCCCAGCTGAACAGCGAGATTGGCCAGTTTCATTATCCGACAATAAACGCTGCAGCCGCCGCAGCTGCCCTGCATGGCTATGGACACGGACATGGCCATGGACATGGGGCACATGGTGCTGGTCATGGTGGTCATGGCGGTCATGGTGGCCATGGAGAGCACCAGCAGCATCATCACCATGGCGGCGCCCTCGGCAGTCCGTCGGCCATGATGAGCCAAATGATTGGGAGCAGTGGGAAGCTGTTGCCGTTCAACAACCAGGCGAATGCCGTCTATGAGGTGCACGACTGGTGGCAGGAACAGGTCCTGTGTCCGCAGACCAGCGATGACGAGATCTAGCAATGGCCCAACACCATTCGTAGGTGGACGAAAAGCGGAAGTCGGAAGTTCCGCAGGGGAGGTGGAGCCTAATAAACATCATCATCGCCTAGTGGCCTAGAAATTTTTTGTATAATGCCTATTAAGTGTAAATGTATCGGCCTCACAATTAACGGTTAACAATTCTTAACGAGTATATTTAGAGATTTAGCTATAGTTTAGCACTGGGTAAAGGTAAAATGAAAGTGTAACAGAAGTTAGAAAACAAAAGGGGCAACCATTTGTTTTATGTTTTGTTGTTGTTTGCGTGCTAGATGGTAAATATGATCAGTCAGTCGGTAACTTTGTTATAGCTTAAATATATAAAGAAATATATATTATATATATGTATAATGAGTACATCGCATATGGATTGCATATGTCTTACGTATAGTGCAAATTTATAAGCGCGCTGCCTCACCAAAACGGAGCATTGAAGTTCGTTAGTTGCCCAAAACTCAATGCAAACTCAAAACGAAAGCCAAAAAATCCATCGTACAGATTCGAGCTAACCAAGTTTATACCACAAGTAGTAGCTGTAGAGAAAGACAGACAACCCCAGACACCAAAACGAAAGAGATGCCTATTAAGATATTTTGAGATTAGCCAAAGAACTCAGCACAAATTAATATTAAAGTTATTACTACGAGTATATAGCCAAAGCCCCATTCAATGCGACCTCCCCACTCAAAAAAAAAAAAGCGAGCGTAATAAAAATCGTTGAAATTGCAGAACGTTTTAAAAAAACCCTCTCTTGGCTGTTCAATGAATGAATGGGTCTCCGTGTCGAGGGAGAACGTGCGCCCTTCGGCTTGGACGAACTGAACTTGCCGTAATCTGCGGCTTATGCAAACCCGTGCCCGCCTTACGGAGCAGGTGCGTGCGTGCCAGGGGGCGAACGAAGCATCCGTTGCGGCTGTCGGAGCGATCGAGTTTTCGGTCGCTGTCCGGAATTCAAATTCTTGCACAGACTGGGGGACTAGGGACTTGATGCGGACCCCGCAACCACGGCTTAAATATGCCCTTGGGTGTGCTGGCAAGCTCAGTACCGAGGGTGTCGCTCGGGTGTACACAGCACACTGAACGGCCCAGCAAGGACACACATTCCAAGGACACACTGTTCAGTTCAGGCAGCGCCACGTTGACAAGATGCAACTGTTCGTTATCTGCCTGCTGGCGGCCACCACAGCCGCGTTCACAATGTTTGGCCCCCACATCCGCATCGTGCCGGGCCAGAAGCCCAATGAGATAATCCTGCACTTTCGCAATCCGTGCAACAATAAAACGAGCACCACCACCCTGAAGCCGCCACCGCCGCCTTGTCCTGCTCATCCCACCACTCCCGCCTGCGAGCACCGCATCACCAGTCCAGCTCCGACGAAGCCGCATTGTCCACATGCCACCACTACTCCGCACAATTGTGGTCACGACACAACGAGCTCCAGCAGGGCCACCACTCCAAAGCCGACATTGGAAACAACAATTGGGACAACTTTCAAGACAACTCAAATAACAACACCAGCACCAACCACTCTGCGACCAACAGAAGACACGACGGCCACGCCGACAACTCTGAAACCAACTGAGGGAACGACTGCCAGGCAGACAACTCTGAAACCAACTGAGGGAACGAGTGCCAAGCCGACAACTCTGAAACCTACTGAGGGAACGACTGCAAAGCAGACAACTCTGAAACCAACTGAAGGTACAACGGCAAAGTCGACAACTCTGAAACCAACTGAAGGTACAACGGCCAAGACGACAACTCTGAAACCAACTGAGGGAACAACGGCCAAGCCGACAACTTTAAAACCTACTGAGGGAACAACGGCCAAGTCGACAACTCTGAAACCAACTGAAGGTACAACGGCCAAGCCAACTACTGTGAAACCAACTGAGGGAACGAGTTCCAAGCCGACAACTCTGAAACCAACTGAAGGAACAAGTGCCAAGCCCACAACTCTGAAACCAACTGAGGGAACGACTGCCAGGCAGACAACTCTGAAACCAACTGAGGGAACGAGTGCCAAGCCGACAACTCTGAAACCTACTGAGGGAACGACTGCCACGCAGACAACTCTGAAACCAACTGAAGGTACAACGGCAAAGTCGACAACTCTGAAACCAACTGAAGGTACAACGGCCAAGCCAACTACTGTGAAACCAACTGAGGGAACGAGTTCCAAGCCGACAACTTTGAAACCAACTGAGGGAACGAGTTCCAAGCCGACAACTCTGAAACCAACCGAAGAAACAAGTGCCAAGCCCACAACTCTGAAACCTACTGAGGGAACGACTGCCACGCAGACAACTCTGAAACCAACTGAGGGAACGAGTTCCAAGCCCACAACTCTGAAACCAACCGAAGGAACGACTGTCAGGCAGACAACTCTGAAACCAACTGAAGCTACAACGACCAAGCCGACAACTTTAAAACCAACTGAAGGTACAACGGCTAAGCCAACAACTTTAAAACCTACTGAGGGAACAACGGCCAAGTCGACAACTCTGAAACCAACTGAAGGTACAACGGCCAAGACGACAACTCTGAAACCAACTGAAGGTACAACGGCCAAGCCAACTACTGTGAAACCAACTGAGGGAACGAGTTCCAAGCCGACAACTCTGAAACCAACTGAAGGTACAAGTGCCAAGCCCACAACTCTGAAACCAACTGAGGGAACGACTGTCAGGCAGACAACTCTGAAACCAACCGAAGGTACAACGGCCAAGCCAACTACTGTGAAACCAACTGAGGGAACGACTGCCAAGACGACAACTTTGAAACCAACTGAGGGAACGAGTTCCAAGCCGACAACTCTGAAACCAACCGAAGGAACAAGTGCCAAGCCCACAACTCTGAAACCAACTGAGGGAACAACGGCCAAGTCGACAACTCTGAAACCAACTGAAGGTACAACGGCCAAGCCGACAACTTTAAAACCTACTGAGGGAACAACGGCCAAGTCGACAACTCTGAAACCAACTGAAGGTACAACGGCCAAGACGACAACTCTGAAACCAACTGAAGGTACAACGGCCAAGCCAACTACTGTGAAACCAACTGAGGGAACGAGTGCCAAGCCGACAACTTTGAAACCAACTGAGGGAACGAGTTCCAAGCCGACAACTCTGAAACCAACCGAAGGAACAAGTGCCAAGCCCACAACTCTGAAACCAACTGAGGGAACGACTGTCAGGCAGACAACTCTGAAACCAACCGAAGGTACAACGGCCAAGCCAACTACTCTGAAACCAACTGAAGGTACAACGGCCAAGACGACAACTCTGAAACCAACTGAGGGAACAACGGCCAAGTCGACAACTCTGAAACCAACTGAAGGTACAACGGCCAAGCCGACAACTTTAAAACCTACTGAGGGAACGACAGCCAAGTCGACAACTCTGAAACCAACTGAAGGTACAACGGCCAAGACGACAACTCTGAAACCAACTGAAGGTACAACGGCCAAGCCAACTACTGTGAAACCAACTGAGGGAACGAGTTCCAAGCCGACAACTCTGAAACCAACTGAAGGAACAAGTGCCAAGCCCACAACTCTGAAACCAACTGAGGGAACGACTGCCAGGCAGACAACTCTGAAACCAACTGAGGGAACGAGTGCCAAGCCGACAACTCTGAAACCTACTGAGGGAACGACTGCCACGCAGACAACTCTGAAACCAACTGAAGGTACAACGGCAAAGTCGACAACTCTGAAACCAACTGAAGGTACAACGGCCAAGCCAACTACTGTGAAACCAACTGAGGGAACGAGTTCCAAGCCGACAACTTCGAAACCAACTGAGGGAACGAGTTCCAAGCCGACAACTCTGAAACCAACTGAAGGTACAAGTGCCAAGCCCACAACTCTGAAACCAACTGAGGGAACGACTGCCAGGCAGACAACTCTGAAACCAACTGAAGGTACAACGACCAAGCCGACAACTTTAAAACCAACTGAAGGTACAACGGCTAAGCCAACAACTTTAAAACCTACTGAGGGAACAACGGCCAAGTCGACAACTCTGAAACCAACTGAAGGTACAACGGCCAAGACGACAACTCTGAAACCAACTGAAGGTACAACGGCCAAGCCAACTACTCTGAAACCAACTGAAGGTACAACGGCCAAGACGACAACTCTGAAACCAACTGAGGGAACAACGGCCAAGACGACAACTCTGAAACCAACTGAAGGTACAACGGCCAAGCCAACTACTCTGAAACCAACTGAAGGTACAACGGCCAAGACGACAACTCTGAAACCAACTGAAGGTACAACGGCCAAGCCAACTACTGTGAAACCAACTGAGGGAACGAGTTCCAAGCCGACAACTCTGAAACCAACTGAAGGTACAAGTGCCAAGCCCACAACTCTGAAACCAACTGAGGGAACGACTGTCAGGCAGACAACTCTGAAACCAACTGAAGGTACAACGACCAAGCCGACAACTTTAAAACCAACTGAAGGTACAACGGCTAAGCCAACAACTTTAAAACCTACTGAGGGAACAACGGCCAAGTCGACAACTCTGAAACCAACTGAAGGTACAACGGCCAAGACGACAACTCTGAAACCAACTGAAGGTACAACGGCCAAGCCAACTACTGTGAAACCAACTGAGGGAACGACTGCCAAGACGACAACTTTGAAACCAACTGAGGGAACGAGTTCCAAGCCGACAACTCTGAAACCAACCGAAGGAACAAGTGCCAAGCCCACAACTCTGAAACCAACTGAGGGAACGACTGCCAGGCAGACAACTCTGAAACCAACTGAAGGTACAACGGCCAAGCCAACTACTCTGAAACCAACTGAAGGTACAACGGCCAAGACGACAACTCTGAAACCAACTGAAGGTACAACGGCCAATCCAACTACTGTGAAACCAACTGAGGGAACGAGTGCCAAGCCGACAACTTTGAAACCAACTGAGGGAACGAGTTCCAAGCCGACAACTCTGAAACCAACCGAAGGAACAAGTGCCAAGCCCACAACTCTGAAACCTACTGAGGGAACGACTGCCACGCAGACAACTCTGAAACCAACTGAAGGTACAACGACCAAGCCGACAACTTTAAAACCAACTGAGGGAACAACGGCCAAGTCGACAACTCTGAAACCAACTGAAGGTACAACGGCCAAGCCAACTACTGTGAAACCAACTGAGGGAACGAGTGCCAAGCCGACAACTCTGAAACCAACTGAACGAACGACTGCAAAGCAGACAACTCTGAGGCCAACTGAGGGAACGACTGCCAAGCCTACAACTCTGAAACCAACTGAGCGAACGACTGCCAAGCAGACAACTCTGAGACCAACTGAAGGTACAACGGCCAAGTCGACAACTCTGAAACCAACTGAAGGTACAACGGCCAAGCCGACTACCCTGAGACCAACTGAGGGAACGACTGCCAAGCCTATAACTCTGAAACCAACAACGGCCAAGCCGACAACTCTGAAACCAACTGAACGAACGACTGCAAAGCAGACAACTCTGAGGCCAACTGAGGGAACGACTGCCAAGCCTACAACTCTGAAACCAACTGAGCGAACGACTGCCAAGCAGACAACTCTGAGACCAACTGAAGGTACAACGGCCAAGTCGACAACTCTGAAACCAACTGAAGGTACAACGGCCAAGCCGACTACCCTGAGACCAACTGAGGGAACGACTGCCAAGCCTATAACTCTGAAACCAACAACGGCCAAGCCGACAACTCTGAAACCAACTGAACGAACAACTGCCAAGCAGACAACTCTGAGACCAACTGAGGGAACGACTGCCAAGCCTACAACCCTGAAACCAACAACGGCCAAGCCTACAACTCTGAAACCAACTGAGGGAACAACGGCTAAGCCGACAACTCTGAAACCAACTGAGCGAACGACTGCCAAGCAGACAACTCTGGGACCAACTGAGGGAACAACTGTCAAGCCTACAACTCTGAAACCAACTGAGGGAACGACTGCCAAGCAGACAACTCTGAAACCAACTGAGGGAACGAGTGCCAAGCCGACATCTCTGAAACCAACTGAAGGTACAACGGCCAAGCCGACTACTCTGAAACCAACTGAGCGAACGACTGCCAAGCTTACAACTCTGAAACCAACTGAGCGAACGACTGCCAAGCCTACAACTCTGAAACCAACTGAGCGAACGACTGCCAAGCAGACAACTCTGAAACCAACTGAGGGAACAACTGTCAAGCCTACAACTCTGAAACCAACTGAGGGAACGACTGCCAAGCAGACAACTCTGAAACCAACTGAGGGAACGAGTGCCAAGCCGACATCTCTGAAACCAACTGAAGGTACAACGGCCAAGCCGACTACTCTGAAACCAACTGAGCGAACGACTGCCAAGCAGACAACTCTGAGACCAACTGAGGGAACGACTGCCAAGCCTACAACCCTGAAACCAACAACGGCCAAGCCGACAACTCTGAAACCAACTGAACGAACGACTGCAAAGCAGACAACTCTGAAACCAACTGAGCGAACGACTGCCAAGCCTACAACTCTGAAACCAACTGAGGGAACAACGGCTAAGCCGACAACTCTGAAACCAACTGAGCGAACGACTGCCAAGCAGACAACTCTGAGACCAACTGAGGGAACAACTGTCAAGCCTACAACTCTGAAACCAACTGAGGGAACGACTGCCAAGCAGACAACTCTGAAACCAACTGAGGGAACGAGTGCCAAGCCGACATCTCTGAAACCAACTGAAGGTACAACGCCCAAGCCGACTACTCTGAAACCAACTGAGCGAACGACTGCCAAGCAGACAACTCTGAGACCAACTGAGGGAACGACTGCCAAGCCTACAACCCTGAAACCAACAACGGTCAAGCCGACAACTCTAAAACCAACTGAACGAACGACTGCAAAGCAGACAACTCTGAAACCAACTGAGCGAACGACTGCCAAGCCTACAACTCTGAAACCAACTGAGGGAACAACGGCTAAGCCGACAACTCTGAAACCAACTGAGCGAACGACTGCCAAGCAGACAACTCTGAAACCAACTGAGGGAACAACGGCTAAGCCGACAACTCTGAAACCAACTGAGCGAACGACTGCCAAGCAGACAACTCTGAGACCAACTGAGGGAACAACTGTCAAGCCTACAACTCTGAAACCAACTGAGGGAACGACTGCCAAGCCGACATCTCTGAAATCAACTGAAGGTACAACGGCCAAGCCGACTACTCTGAGACCAACTGAGGGAACGACTGCCAAGCCGACATCTCTGAAATCAACTGAAGGTACAACGGCCAAGCCGACTACTCTGAGACCAACTGAGGGAACGACTGCCAAGCAGACAACTCTGAAACCAACTGAAGGTACAACGGCCAAGCCGACTACTCTGAAACCAACTGAGCGAACGACTGCCAAGCAGACAACTCTGAGGCCAACTGAGGGAACAACTGTCAAGCCTACAACTCAGAAACCAACTGAACGAACTACTGCCAAAGAAACAACTCTGAGACCAACTGAGGGAACGACTGTCAAGCCTACAACTCAGAAACCAACTGAGGGAACAACTGTCAAGCCTACAACTCTGCAACCAACTGAGGGAACGACTGCCAAGCCGACAACTCTGAGACCAACTGAGGGAACAACGGCCAAGCCGACAACTCTGAAACCAACTGAACGAACGACTGCCAAGCAGACAACTCTGAGGCCAACTGAGGGAACAACTGTCAAGCCTACAACTCAGAAACCAACTGAAAGAACTACTGCCAAGGAGACAACTCTGAGACCAACTGAGGGAACAACGGCCAAGCCGACAACTCTGAAACCAACTGAACGAACTACTGCCAAGCAGACAACTCTGAGACCAACTGAGGGAACAACTGTCAAGCCTACAACTCAGAAACCAACTGAGGGAACGACTGTCAAGCCTACAACTCTGAAACCAACTGAGGGAACGAGTGCCAAGCCTACAACTCTGAGACCAACTGAGGGAACGACTGCCAAGCAGACAACTCTGAGACCAACTGAGGGAACAACGGCCAAACCGACAACTCAGAAACCAACTGAACGAACGACTGCCAAGCCGACAACTCTGAAACCAACTGAGCGAACGACTGCCAAGCAGACAACTCTGAGACCAACTGAGGGAACGACTGCCAAGCCTACAACTCTGAAACCAACTAAGGGAACGAGTGCAAAGCCTACAACTCTGAAACCAACTGAGGGAACGACTGCCAAGCCGACAACTCTGAGACCAACTGAAGGTACAACGGCCAAGCAGACAACTCAGAAACCAACTGAACGAACGACTGCCAAGCAGACAACTCTGAAACCAACTGAACGAACGACTGCCAAGCAGACAACTCTGAGGCCAACTGAGCGAACGACTTCCAAGCCTACAACTCTGAAACCAACTGAACGAACGACTGCAAAGCATACAACTCTGAGACCAACTGAGGGAACGACTGTCAAGCCTACAACTCAGAAACCAACTGAACGAACTACTGCCAAGGAGACAACTCTGAGTCCAACTGAGGGAACAACTGTCAAGCCTACAACTCAGAAACCAACTGAGGGAACAACGGCCAAGCCGACAACTCTGAAACCAACTGAACGAACGACTGCCAAGCAGACAACTCTGAGGCCAACTGAGGGAACAACTGTCAAGCCTACAACTCAGAAACCAACTGAAAGAACTACTGCCAAGGAGACAACTCTGAGACCAACTGAGGGAACAACGGCCAAGCCGACAACTCTGAAACCAACTGAACGAACGACTGCCAAGCAGACAACTCTGAGGCCAACTGAGCGAACGACTGCCAAGCCTACAACTCTGAAACCAACTGAACGAACGACTGCCAAGCATACAACTCTGAGACCAACTGAAGGTACAACGGCCAAGCAGACAACTCTGAGACCAACTGAGGGAACGACTGCAAAGCCTACAACTCTGAGACCAACTAAGGAAACAACGGCCAAGCCGACAACTCTAAAACCAACTGAACGAACGACTGCCAAGCAGACAACTCTGAGGCCAACTGAGCGAACGACTTCCAAGCCTACAACTCTGAAACCAACTGAACGAACGACTGCAAAGCATACAACTCTGAGACCAACTAAGGAAACAACGGCCAAGCAGACAACTCAGAAACCAACTGAGGGAACGACTGTCAAGCCTACAACTCAGAAACCAACTGAGGGAACGACTGCCAAGCAGACAACTCTGAGACCAACTGAAGGTACAACGGCCAAGCAGACAACTCTGAGACCAACTGAGCGAACGACTGCAAAGCCTACAACTCTGAGACCAACTGAAGGTACAACGGCCAAGCAGACAACTCTGAGACCAACTGAGGGAACAACTGTCAAGCCTACAACTCAGAAACCAACTGAGGGAACAACGGCCAAGCCGACAACTCTGAAACCAACTGAGGGAACGACTGCCAAGCATACAACTCTGAGACCAACTGAGGGAACGACGGCAAAGCCTACAACTCTGAGACCAACTAAGGAAACAACGGCCAAGCCGACAACTCTGAAACCAACTGAACGAACGACTGCCAAGCAGACAACTCTGAGGCCAACTGAGCGAACGACTGCCAAGCCTACAACTCTGAAACCAACTGAACGAACGACTGCCAAGCATACAACTCTGAGACCAACTGAAGGTACAACGGCCAAGCAGACAACTCTGAGACCAACTGAGGGAACGACTGCAAAGCCTACAACTCTGAGACCAACTGAGGGAACGACTGCAAAGCCTACAACTCTGAGTCCAACTAAGGAAACAACGGCCAAGCCGACAACTCTGAAACCAACTGAACGAACGACTGCCAAGCAGACAACTCTGAGGCCAACTGAGCGAACGACTGCCAAGCCTACAACTCAGAAACCAACTGAACGAACTACTGCCAAGGAGACAACTCTTAGACCAACTGAGGGAACAACTGTCAAGCCTACAACTCAGAAACCAACTAAGGGAACAACGGCCAAGCCGACAACTCTGAAACCAACTGAGGGAACGACTGCCAAGCAGACAACTCTGAGGCCAACTGAGGGAACAACTGTCAAGCCTACAACTCAGAAACCAACTGAACGAACTACTGCCAAGCAGACAACTCAGAAACCAACTGAGGGAACGAGTGCCAAGCCTACAACTGTGAGACCAACTGAAGGTACAACGGCCAAGCAGACAACTCAGAAACCAACTGAACGAACGACTGCCAAGCAGACAACTCTGAGACCAACTGAAGGTACAACGGCCAAGCAGACAACTCTGAGACCAACTGAAGGAACAACTGCCAAGCAGACAACTCTGAGACCAACTGAGGGAACGACTGCAAAGCCTACAACTCTGAGACCAACTAAGGAAACAACGGCCAAGCATACAACTCTGAGACCAACTGAGGGAACGACTGCCAAGCAGACAACTCTGAGGCCAACTGAGGGAACAACTGTCAAGCCTACAACTCAGAAACCAACTGAACGAACTACTGCCAAGGAGACAACTCTGAGACCAACTAAGGAAACAACGGCCAAGCCGACAACTCTGAAACCAACTGAGGGAACGACTGCCAAGCATACAACTCTGAGACCAACTGAGGGAACGACTGCCAAGCAGACAACTCTGAGGCCAACTGAGGGAACAACTGTCAAGCCTACAACTCAGAAACCAACTGAACGAACTACTGCCAAGCATACAACTCTGAGACCAACTGAGGGAACGACTGCCAAGCAGACAACTCTGAGGCCAACTGAGGGAACAACTGTCAAGCCTACAACTCAGAAACCAACTGAACGAACTACTGCCAAGGAGACAACTCTGAGACCAACTGAAGGTACAACGGCCAAGCAGACAACTCTGAGACCAACTGAGGGAACGACTGCAAAGCCTACAACTCTGAGACCAACTAAGGAAACAACGGCCAAGCCGACAACTCTGAAACCAACTGAGGGAACAACTGTCAAGCCTACAACTCAGAAACCAACTGAACGAACTACTGCCAAGGAGACAACTCTGAGACCAACTGAGGGAACAACTGTCAAGCCTACAACTCAGAAACCAACTGAGGGAACAACGGCCAAGCCGACAACTCTGAAACCAACTGAGGGGACGACTGCCAAGCAGACAACTCAGAAACCAACTGAACGAACGACTGCCAAGCAGACAACGCTGAGACCAACTGAGAGAACAACTGTCAAGCCTACAACTCTGAAACCAACTGAGGGAACGACTGTCAAGCCTACAACTCAGAAACCAACTGAGGGAACAACAGCTAAGCCGACAACTCTGAAACCAACTGAACGAACGACTGATAAGCAGACAACACTGAGACCAACTGAGCGAACGACTGCAAAGCCTACAACTCTGAGACCAACTGAAGGTACAACGGCCAAGCAGACAACTCTGTGGCCAACTGAGGGAACAACTGTCAAGCAGACAACTCAGAAACCAACTGAACGATCGACTGCCAAGCATACAACTCTGAGACCAACTGAGGGAACGACTTCCAGGCCGACAACGTTAGAGCCTACTGGCGGAACAACGCCACAGCAGACTTCTCAGAAGACGACAACCCTTAAGCCAACATCGGTTGAGACGACAACCGAATCTCTCCCTCCGTTTAATATATTCGATGTGATAACTGGTACACCATTGACAAGCACTCCCAATATTTCGTAAAGCAGCATCAAACAGAACTAAAGTAGTGATAAGCTTATTGAATCCGTAATTAATGTAAATTTTAATTCTAATAAATTTTCAACAACATTACAAATTTAAAGTTCTCTTGGTAGCAATGCGTTATATTCCAAAGATTCTGTCATAATTCATTGAAAATGATTTCTTATACATTAACAAAAAAATGTTTCTTACGTAACTTGTACCTAGTGGGGCCCCACGAGTATTAGATTCATATGCTAAGGACTTATTTATTTACAGGGGTATATTGTTGTCCAACGTATTACCATCTTCAGCGCTTTCCTCGCTGTCGAAATCAATGCTGGCATCCCGCCAGTCACACAAGCCGGGGAACTTCTCGCTGATGCGATGCTGGGGGCACTTGGATCCCGCCGGACCAGATTGGTAGATGGGTTCGTTGAAAATGTTGTTGTAGTCATAGTTGCACGTCAACATGAACTGGAAACGATTGGATTTGGGCTCCAGGAAGCGGACACCGGCGCAGCCCACGCGATTCACTCGATCAGACACAAGCAGTGTAAAGTGGCCGATCTTCTTGCTGCGGGAGAAAAATATTTTTATAAATCTTATGCGTTTTCATAAAGTTTTAAAACTTCTAAAGAACTTTACAAAATATTTGACACTATTTAAACAACTTTTGTGTTGAACATTTAGTTTTTAGCGGCTTACCCCTGCGGATGTGGGTGATATTTATCGATGAAGCTCTGATTGGCATCCTGGTACTCGCGGAACCAGTTGATCACAAAGGACTTCATTCGTCTCGAGTGCGATTTGAACTCTCTGCCGATCCAAAAGTAACCGATATTCTGACCACTAAACTTGAAACGCGGCGTGTTGCGGCACTTGTCGTGGGCGAATTGGCAGCGTTTGGCGTGCAAGGCGGCCATTTGCTCCAGTTCGTTATCCCAACGCAGCAGCGGCATATGGGCGGCACTGCGATAGCCATCCAGATTTCCGCTGGCGATCTTCGATCTGGCCAAATTGTGCATGTCCAGCAGCAGCTGGCGCCGCCTCTCGCTCATTTCGAGGAGCTTGGGTTCCGGTCCGCAGGAGGGAGAGAAGCTACCGTTGTTGCCACATGCGGTATGCGGCACGTGCACCAGATGCGTTCCATTGTACAGCTCACAAAGTGCTGCCGCACAGTAGCCGCCAGATGGCGCTGCAGTAGTGGTGGTTACGGCTTCGGTTAAGCTCTGAGCTCCGGTTAATCCGTTGTGGCAAACCAAAACTATGAGGAGCACTGCAGGCGCCCAAGCGGCGAACACGCTGCACTTGCTCAACAATCTCGGCATCTCGACGGTCAACACGCTACTGATCTGAGGTCGTGCGGCACTTTGGGTTTATGAATGGGTTATGGCTAACCATCGACCAGTTGCCTCCGCCGGCGTCGCTGCTTTTCCCACTTCTTTGGGTTGGGTAGCGCTGCGGGGTCCATAACTGGTTCTCATTAGAAAGAAATTAGCCATGGGAATTAGTGGGGCTTTAATCTGAGGACATCGGAGCGGGTCATTCCTAAAATACTATCTTAATCATAGGTTTATAATCTCTGCTATTATTTCGTGGAAATTAGTTGATTAGATGGAAACTAACTATTAATAGAATGTAACCCTTAAATTCGCAGACTTGCGAATGAACAAGGTCCTATTTTATAGCCATTGTATTTTTTCTCAGTGCAGTCTGGGCAGCTTGCTAGGTTCGCGGCACCCAGTGGTCATCCCTCATCGTCGCCCAGCTTCCGGCAGTGCGCCGCGTGCGGTGCATCAGTGGATCATCCCTATATCACCGCCATATCACCGCCGATTCGCACCGATCCGTGGATAACCGGTTTGTGTTGTTGGATGTGGGTACGCGTCTGGGTCTGGATCTGGGACTGGCCCCGTGTAAGTGGTATAATCAGTTACCGGCGGGCAGTGTGGGAAAAATGCTCGCTTCAAGGCAATTGCCGATAAGTAGCTGGGTCGGGGAATTATTGGCTTTTCGCTCAGCTTTACAATCAACTAGCCCGGCCAAAAGCCGCTGGCCCAAGAGAGACAACCGTCGTAAGCCAAAAAAAATATATATATGCATATACAAAAATAAGGAACATAAAAATCAAGTGTAAAGAACGCAGAAAAACACAGAAATTAATGAAACGTCAACAGAAACGTGCCTCACACCTAATCGAAGTTAATTAAAATAACAATGCTCCGACAGCTGAAGCCTCGCACTAAACACACCAACAATACCAAAATGCGAAATCTGCAAAAAACCGAAAAGACCATAAATAAGAAAAAAATCTTATAATTATGACGTCGAATGGCCATCCCCGAAATAAGCAAGAAAGAATGGATCGAGCAGTTTATTGATTCTGGATTCGAGTCTGGGTCAATGCTATTTATAATTTTATTGGTTTTGTAGTCCCAAGATCGGTTGCCAATAGTTTGTTATACCAGAGACTTTAGTGGCTTTGCACATACGACTTACTTGAGTACATGAAAAATATTCTATTTATACAGATTTTAGTGCCCCGAACAATTAAAAATGTGTCTCGCACATTCAAAGCTTATTATTTACGTGAGCAATGACTGAAAAAAAACTTTAGTTTCGCACGTGCCACATTGTAGGATTGTAAATTGAAATAACTTACTCAGATGGCTTTAAAATAATTTTGGCATGAAGCTACCAGGGTATTGGACTCTTCGGACCGCTGGCCCTAATAAACTCTAGATTTCGCTTCTTCTTTTATTGGCCAATTACGATGCGGCTGGTTGTTTCGCGTTTATTGAGCTATCACATCATTGAGTTTTTTGAGAGGTTCTGCTCATGCGTTGCAATCATTGACTTTTAATTTTAAAAACTAAAAATGCCATTATTTTATTCGAAAATTGCTAGAAATTGAGAACATGCTAGAGGCGAATTTCCCATTATTCATTGAGTGTAGAAGTGCATCACTCGCTGAGAAAAATGTTTTCATTAATTCACTAATTACTGCCCAGTGGCTGCACCGGGTTCATTCAAGTTGCAGAAAATTATTCAATAAATCTTGGGTTTTATTGGCTGACTCAATTGAAGTTCTCCGGCTATATGATTATGAATGATTTGTGAGCGGCATCAGCCGCAACCGCAATAGTTGCTTGGTAGTTTATTTAGCCACGATATTCGCTGGCCAGTACTCGTATTTCGTCGACGACGGCGCTCAACTGCTGTTGTAATTAAAGATCTCTTAGCAGTCATCAGATAGATCCAGCCAGCTAGTCAAACTCGGATCGAAAGCTAATGCTGAAGTTCGCGTGACGTGCGAGTAGATACATTTGCATAGAAAATGATTAATCGCGCAGCGATTAATTGGCAGCAACGTCAATGCTGCAGTTGTTAAATATAAACAATACATTTAGCAGCGACTAAACATAAATTACTCTGAAAATGTGTACGAAAATACATTTGGGGCCGGGTAACCCCACTTGGCCTTATGATTGGCAGCATAATTACCATATATCGCCACCGCTGCACTTCCTCATTCTGTAATTACACCAATTGCGGCAGTACATCACGTTAAGCGTGACGCCCAATGGCCTCCAGATAGTCGGCGATAACGAAGATCTATGGAGCTGTAAGCCACCAAACACTCTGGTTGTTGGCGGAAGTGCGAAGCAATTGTTGGGCCAAGAAAATGATCGGAAACTCGGGAAGAGTTACTTTACTTCATCCACCAACATGTTTAATACCAATTCTGAAATCTTGTCTTGTTGGAAACGTCTTTATCGATAGCTTCTAATGTTTGCATTGATATAGTTTGATGAGATAAAGCTTTAAGCTCTTAACAACCCAAGTGCTTTGTTTAATTGTCCAACCGCTTCTGTTAGCCAAGTGCGCGATAACTGAAAGCCAACTTAAGTTGGCCATCGCCATGGCATGGCCGCACAACTAGGTGGCTTTTTAATGGCCGGCGTTGAAGGCTCTTATCATAATTAGCATATTTCGCCCAGTGTATTTCGGCCTGGCCAGCGATGATCTCTTTGTGTCCGTGTGCTTCTGTGAGCCATATAATTGCTGGCAGCAAAACGTGACGTTTGCGCTGGCGACTTCGTGTCCTGGGTTGTTACCTTGGCAATTAGTTGGTCGAAACTGCCAAGGTTTAATTACACGATGCAGCTCCCTTAAATCCACGAGCTGTGTGCGCTTTGATGTTTTGCCAGTTACCCTATTAATTAAGTTGAATGATCGAATATACGATACTCTTAGTTTTTCTGCATCTTCAAACATAGCGCTGAAATGCGGCTCGAAGGACCAAAGATTATTATTTGTTGTGGATTTTGGTTTTGGCTGCTACATAGTGTTTTTCAAAACGCGCCTTGTTGATTTTACCCCAGATAAATGGTGTTCGTTGCCATTACTATTGTCAGCCAGTTGTCAGGTGTTGGCTGCATTTCATTTTCATTTCATATTATTAAATTTAATTTTCGGTTTTGTCTCTCGCTCCATCTATGTGTGCGTGTGTGCGAGTGTGCGAGTGTGTGTGTATCTGCACTAATTAAATTCATGCTGAAATTTTTCTAATTAAAAGTTTACTAATGAAATTTATGCAGCTGCTGTTGGAAATGCTGCTGTCTGCGTGGGTGTGTGTGCTGTGTGTGTGCTGTGTGTGCGCTGTGTGTGTGGTGTGTGTGCGCTGTGTGTGTGTTTGGTTGAAAGCCCAAAAGTCGCGCTTTCAATTAAAAATCGCCATGAACGGTTCGGATTTTGTGGGGTTTTGGGTGCGGATGGGGAGGTTTTACACACGGACAGCTGGCCATTTTGATGTGCTCGAATTAGATTTGTATTAAATTGCATTTTTGTGGTTATTATTTATTTCATTGCATTTCACTGCACTTTCACGTCTTGCGTCTGCCTGACTGCCTGACTGCCCTTCCTTTTTTGCTGTTGTTTTCGGCCTTATTTAATATTGTATTTTAACGTATTTGCGTAAACAACTGCGGGGGCAAGTTAATGCAATCAAATGTGGC